CCTTGAAGCGTTATATTAAAATGAAATAACATTTACGAACAGAAATAACACGCCAGGCCGGTGTAACCTTTAATATTTTTGTCTCTTTCGATATCAAAATCAAATAATACTGATTCCATTTCAAATGTGACTAATTCTTAATACTGACGTCTTGAAATAGCTTAGATTAAACTAGTCTTTATCCACGACTTTGTCTGAATAAAAGAATTAATGCAACTCTTTATTTCTTCCCTTTAAAGAATAATAGAGGTTATAAAGATTAACAATATGTACAGATACAAAAAAAATACTCAATTACAAAAACTTTATTACATAAAAGCAAACTAAAGAGACAACAATGGGCGGCCTTATCGCTAAATAGCGATCTCTTCCAGGCAACCTTAGTGTCGGGAATATATTGATTAACGAGGATGAAAAGTAGTCCATGCCCTTCTTTATCCCAACTAGTATGTATGTATTCCAAATTTTATAACGATTGATTGAGCTCTTAAAGCCCCGAAAGGTAAAAAAACTCACTTTCGCATTTACTTATAATATTAACAAGGATTACTTACACGTATATAAATCATCCTTAACGATCCTAAGATGATAATAATAATAATCTTTATTTAAAACAGTAAATTACAGAATTGTTTAACTTTGGTCCCCATATGGGCCGAGCCTATATCTGAGGAATTGAATATGAGTAGATACCTACACCCAGTTTGGCATTTTATTCCTAAATATCTTTAGAGTAGTTTGTTTTATAATACATATGTAATTTAAATACTGAAGATTCAGGTAAAACTCATCCAGTAAGCAAAAATTACTTTCTTGTCATTCTAAGTTGCAATAAAAAATATGAAACGCCTAATAAACCCATTTTAGCGATTGTTGGATCTTGTATTTTTTAAATAATGTATTTTTGTGTAAAATAGATAATAATTAAAATAGGTTTATAAGAGTTAGTTTAAGTTAATACACCGTACGCGCAATGCCGCGAAATTAATCTAGTATGTTAAACGTTAACATTAGTCACGGCCGTCGACTCGAGGGAGCTCTATTTATAGTAACCATTATCACGGTTATCTTTATTATATTTGATTTCATCCAACAAATTGATGTGTTATTTTTACCTTAAGTATTATTCTTAATACTACGTAGAGTTCAATTTGCAATCTCTATTCTAATGATACTTTCAATATTTTTCTCCAAATAAATTTAGTTTACTTTCAAACTCGTATTTAATTGAGTTCTTTTACTGAAGTTTTTTTTTTTTTTTTAATATTGATTTTGACATAATAATTTTTAATATTATACTAAATCATTCATATAATCAATACACTGATCGCGTAACCGCGCGGTTTATATAAAATAATCAGAAATTATTTAAATATTTCCACTATGTTCCTGGAGGAACGTTATCCATTTACCTACTTTAACTAACCTTTTAGCCAATACCTACCTTCTCATGCCTATAGCGGTTCTTATCTATGAACCGAAGTGGTTATAAGAATACAACATTATACAACAACCGAGTCCCTTGTCCAAGTATTAACAAACACCAACGCCATTTAAGTGGACAATCGATAAACTCCATGTATTTACTGCGGTGACGTCACGGGTACTCCCAGATGACTCACCAAATCTCGAACAGAGTTTTCATGAGCTGATCTAGAGATATATTAGAATTTAATTAATTTGGACTTATCTCTGCTATATTATTAAAAAAAATTGTATTGTATGTATAATAAATATTGTATGATCATTTTATCATTATAGATAAAGATAGTATATAACTAAGTACAATCTATAGCTTATTGAAATAACTGCTTGAAATCTATTAGGCAGATATAAGTATCACTTGAATTTTTTTTATGTAAAACCTATTATAGTAGTTTTAATATATGAATCAATTAATAAAATTTATTAGTAAAATAAAGTAAATAATATGGTACAATAAAGTAATAAGTAATTTTATAAATTACACCACTATGACATTTAAGTGTAATTTAAGAAATATTTATGCTTTTCTTGATGTGTGAAAAAAATATTAACTAATATCTACTAAAGTACCTACCAATAATTTAAGATTTTGTACTATATTCAAGAATAGTTACGTATTAATACTAATATAATACTACACAATATATGTATAATAGAGGCAAAATTAATATAGGACCAATTCGACTTGTTATACAGACATAAGCAGTCGATTGGAAATTGCTTTCTAATATATAGATAGATAATAAATTAAAAGATAATATATAAATCGAAAATAATCTAACTATAACTTAATTTTATTTTCAAAGTTTGCTTAGAAGTTTGTAAAGTTGAGACATGAGGTCGAATCGCACCGGACTTCAACTTATTGCCGTCTTTTTGACATATCGTTACACAGAGGCAGCATTAAACTGGAGTGACGAACGTAGATTTAGATTGAATCCGCTCACACCATATTCTGTGTATTCAAACTCGTGTCCCTAATATAAACTTCCAGAAAATCCCAGAACGCATGATCTGTCGCGGTTGTTCTAAATTTCTCATAATAGATATCATGTAGGTATATAACAATGTTTTCGTTAGAAAAGTGAACGGTCGGCAGTCCAACTTAGTGCCGCCTCTGTAGCGCTCTCACGTACTTGTATACCCACGTCGTCCGTTATGCTCCTCACATCATGTTCCAGTAAATTCTATAACATCTGTAAAAACGATTTGCGGACGAATTTAATTCTTTAATTAGAATATAACTAACAACACTAATAATAATAATAAAGTGTTATTTATTTATTTACACTTTATTGCACAGTACATTTTAATGAGAAGTAGTACAAAAAGCGGCCTTATCGTTAACCAATCTCTTCCAAACAATTTTTAGATAAAATACATGGTGAAAAAAGACAAAAATTAGATGGCGCACTTATATAATATATTTGCGCAACATTATTTTACTTACACACTACATTTGATAGATTTTGTTTACGCTTTACTGTTTACTGAATTAATTTTTGAATAATTTGATCTAATGCCCATGGAACAATAAAAATTATTAGAAATATTTAAAATTTAGAAATACTTATATAATGTTACGCAGTGAATGTATTTATATAGGTACCTAAAAAAATTGTTTTCTAATTCAGAACGAATATCGTAATCGTACGTGCAATAATATTGGCAAAGATATCTACAGCCTACTAATATTATAAACGTTAATAATAATATAATTTCTAAAGATATTTAAATGTTTAGATATTTCAATGTTTTTGAAAAACCGATTGCGAATTCGAAGTTTTAACGAATCAAAAATACGTAGGCTGTTTAATAGATCCAGAGATATAAATATTTTGTGTCTCATATGTTATTTTGAGATTTATTTATCTTTTAAGCGTAAACTTCAACGACGATAATCAAATATATCTTTTACCAAACACAGTAAAGAAGTATTTAGGCAACTATATTGTTATTCGTTTGTTTTAAATTGAATAACAAATCGAAGTTGAGAGCCAACAACGAACCTAACCCTTCGGAAGTCGGAGGGCGTCGGTGGCCTGGCTGAGGGCTATAAAAAGTTAAGTAAAACAATAATCAGTCGAGCGGAACCCTCACTCGGTACTCCCCTCTTTACGAACGTAAACATAAAATAAAATACTCGTTGTGCATATGTTAATATTTATTTCTTGGATAAAAACCATTTCGTATATATTAAAGTGCTTTTTCTGTTTACACCATCAGCATTTAATAACGTTGTTCCAAAGAAGGAAGAAAACCGAAACTAATTCAATTAAGTATAATCTTTAGTCTTTATAACAGTTAATCAGTTTATAACATAGATATTCTACGTATTTATGTTTTTACATGTGAAATATGAGGAATATTAGGATGGCGGGAGACAAAATTCTTAAAGGAACATCCAAAATATGACATAAAATGTCTTATAAATATGCGGCTTTATACTCTTACTAACACATATTGAATCAACTGGCCCACTATGAAACCCGACAGCGATATACTTAGTAATTGACGTTTTTTATGCAACTTCAAATTGTAAACAAGCTGACGGCCCACCTGATAGAAAGCGATAACCGTCGGCTATAGACATAAACATTACCATGGATATAACAAAGTGTACTGTGTAGTCCATGATACTCTTCATGTGTCGCCATTCCTGACGACTAACCGTATAATTTCATTGCCATATCCTATCCTATATCTTCAGTTAATACGCTACGAATAATAGGTATTCTATGATATCACTCAGAAATAGTTTGTGATGCGATTCTTCCTGCACTGTGTTTTATGCGATAAATTGCTATTTTAAAAAATTTCATTATTGATTTTTCTTTAAAACAGCAGTAAAGTTATCAAGTTCAAATTAATATTAGTTTTCAGCCATTTTTTTCGAAATTCATGCTATGGTAGCCTTCATACAAATGTTAATAGTGCGGTATGTATTCATATTATCAGAACTAGCTTTCACATTAGTTATATCTGAAAAACAAACTCCTTTTTCAATTGTCTCATGATGAGTGTTCAAAACAAAATTAAAAACTGGTTGAAACAAAACAACACTAATGCCCTTCGGCGGTTCGTTTTACATTCTTCCGGCACCACGTATTCTAGATAGAGGACCAAACAATTGCTAGGTGTGATTACCTATTGCTTGACCGTGTAGTTTATTATATTATATATACGTATGTACATAATAGGCCTGTGGCATTGGGTCCGCTGTCATACATGGATGTATGAATGATTTATTGCTGCGACAGCGTTGACCTTCCCAAGTATTAATTCCAACAATATAGTGCACGTTTATTTAGTTTAACATTAAATTGTCCCAATTTCCTAAATAAGTTCAAAAAGTCAATTATAATTAAAATGGATACACCATTTTGAATTTCATTTTATTTAACATATTCGTTATATTTATTTTAATGTGTATGTAATATGAAGTGGCATACTTTAGTATTATTACCAAAGTCATGGTCATTATAATTGCATTACCTTTTTACTTTTTGTTACAGGTAAGCCCGCCTGCCCGTGCAGTTTATGTGACGCCATGCCTCGTATCTCCTCTTACGGTAAGTATATTATGTTAAACAGTGCAAAATTACCTTAACCTCGACCTTTTTCTGCAAATAAATATGGCCTTAGTGTCTCTTTTTCATAAACTACTTACTGCTGATGCAATAAACATGGTACCTACATAAATACATGAGTAATTTCCATATTTCGAACTGGCAGTTTGTGTCGCTGCACTTACGGAACACTATAAACATAATCGCATTAACCGTGTTTTCAGCCTTTGTTCAATTGAATCCTCTGTACAGCAATAATCAAGTGAGTCTATAGTGGGTCAGCGGGTCGCCCCGCGCATCCGCACCCACCGCGCCGTTCGCTGCGTCCCGACTAAGGGATGTGTTACGCTAACAAATTCATAAGACCATATCTGAAATAATTTATTGAGCTGGTCACATTACTACATACTTTGAATATCAGTAAAATATTTTAGTTCTTCATTTCATGTTACTATAATTATGTCACATATTTTTCACCACATCTGCCATTTATACGCTTTCTGTTTTTACCTAATGACTAGCTAGTAAAGAATGACACACGGCATTAAGCTCGCCACTTGCACAAAGTTTTATTGTGCAATAAAGAATAAATAAATAGTAAATTGTTGAATTTTGATTGCATAGGTAATTATTAATTACTTTATATACTGAATACAAATATATCGTGGCTAAAAAATTAAAATAACAAACTTTTTTATTACAACTAATAAAAAACATACAAATGACATAGAACAAGAGTTGGAACAAAATAAAATCGGTTCTCCTGGCCGCCAAAATGCTCTTCAATTGCTGTTCTACATTCTGTGACATAAATTACCTATTTATTTATATGTTGTTTATTGCGCCAGTTACAGACTAAAGAATTACAGAAAATAATTAATGTGATATAACAGAAGAGGCGGTCAACGGAAGGTAATTATCTACTATTGTTGACATATTTTTAATGTATCATCGAATCGATATCAAATTTTTACGTGAATATATAAAAATATTAATCGTTGACCACAATTATCGAAATTCTATTTAATTATTTATGTCACCATGTCAACCGCATCCTCAAGTGAATGCGTTCAAATCCAAAAAACTGCATATTCTTAACGGGTATTCTATAAATTGTTCGTAAATACAGTTAAACAATGACCAAAGAACATTTAAAGACATACGATTGGTGTTCTTCTATGACATACGATTGGTATACTACTTATGATCCTATATATTATATTTTTATAGTGTAATATACCCCTAACGCCCGCGCTCGCCCGCATCCAACCGTGTTCCCATGTTCCATTATTCACAAATATGACCCACTATGAAAAGAAAACAACCAATAAATATTTTACCCCTATAGTGACGTCATCAACCTTTATTATAAACAAGAGATCATTAAAAATTTAAAACCAAACTGTGTGGTTGTATCTAAATAAATATACCTACATATTTTCAGAATAGAATAACTAATAAAAATGTAGAATTTGTAACAGTAAATTGCATTACGTCTACAATTCTGCACGCACAGAATACACACAAGATATGAGAAATATGTATATTACCCTTCAGCGATCAGGTAAAAAAGTCTACATACTTCCTAGAATCCAAATGTAATGATATATACCTACTTATTTTATTTATTTATAATGTAGCCAAGAAATACGTGTATAATGAGTAGTTTCACACGTTTCATTGACATTTCGACTTTGCTTCCTCTATATTCAAGGGTATATCATCAATAACAAAGAACTTATTGGTTACACTAGAACTCTAGTTAAACTATTAAAGTCGAACTATGTAATCTGATAAATTTTTTAACACTAGCTTAATCGCGCAGCTTTGTCTGCGTAAATCAGTACATAACGTACCCTATGCGTTTGGTGCATGGGTAAGCTACAATATAGTCTATAACTTACCCATGCACCAAATTTCGTTCGAATCCGTTTAGTAGCTTTTGCGTGAAAGAATAACAAATGTCTATACATCTATTCTTACAAATTTTCATATTTATAATATTAATATAATTGTAATGTAATAACTATCAATGTGTAATTAGATCGAAAAAGTTCGAATTAATAGGATAATAGGATAATGAATAATAAAGTAAACAAAACAAAGCTTTCACGCTGTTTAAATTGTGCCGCTTTCAATTAATCAATATAATCGTGCATGTCACTTATTTCTCCATACGTTAATTTGTCTCGACTTATATCAATTTAATAGCAGACCAATAATCGGCGTACTAATTGCTAGGTTAAATGTTAACGCTAATTACATTTCCTCGCTGGGGAATCGCTTCGTTTGTGTGGCCTGAGAACGGCAGGCGTCGCGGAGGAAGTATGCATCGTTTGTTACCCTATATAAAGTCAGTATAGCCTAAAATCCTGGTGCCTGACTTCTACAGGTATAAGACTTTTGAATGGAACTTGGTTTAAAAGAAAAAAGATGGCATAATGCATCCGGATTGCCTTATTTTAGTTAGCCACGAAAATAGTTGTGATAATTTTGGTTAAATTCTCCCTCGTCATAATTAACATCAACGGAATTTTATTCTTTTCTATACATGGTCTCGATAACATATGATTTTCTATAAAAAATAACAGCAAGTGAGAAGTTTAAAGTTAAACAGTTTGTCTAAATGAATGGTGCTGTTTTATGAATTATAATTATGCTCAATTATATATTATCTTTTCGACTGCATTGTAATTTCACTCATATTTCATATAAATAAAAATTTATTAGAAAAAAAAATATAGTCTGTTATGTGCATGGTACTGCTCATGTCTATAGACGACAGTTACCACTTTCCACCAGCCGTCAGCTTGTTTGCTATTCTAAATTGCGTAAAAAAGTCAGCAGCCGGGTTTTAACCAAATATCGTCTTGAAGTAGATGTAATGTAGTATCGTACCATCAAATAATTAATAAGTTTTAATGCTGCATACGTTGGCCCGCATATGCGTACATAAATAATATTAACAGACGGGAGACTCGGGGGAGGCAGGGCAGAGCTCGCGACGCGTCGCTAACGACACTCCGAGACTCCGTCCGACGCACCAATCACTGCTGTAGAATGAATAATCTACTATTCCAACTACATTAATAGCAGTGCTATTCGTGTCGTGGGCTCTATCTCAATTGATTGTAATAATGTAATTAGCAGACAATTTAATCACAATTCTTTAATAAACAATTTCTTATTCTTTTCACTTCGATATGTATTTATCATCTATTGACATGGCTTTATGATCTCTTCAATTCCACACAGTACTAATTAGCGTAATAGACTAAGAGATTTTTGGCTTAATATCTAATTTTAATTTGCATAGTAACAGTATAAAATAAACAACAATTTATACAGAAAAGGTAAAGAATACTTCTACGCGTGAGATAATGAATAAATCTTAAAGTCTATTTAATTTACAAACATTTAATGAAATGATATTATTATCTGTGGTATATATATTTCACCAGCTACGAGTAGAGCCATTGTATTACTATATAAATCCTACTAAGCTGAGCTCTAATAATGTCAAATTATTAAGATAAATCCGTCAACCCAAATGAATAATAATGACAAAACAGGAAAAGGAATTAGGAGTTTATAAAAGTAAACGCTACCTTATGCAAAAGAAAAAGAGCAATCGTATGAAACGAGTTACATTTTCTATAATAAAATATTTTTTATAATAGACAATGCAACTATAAATAATAATTTACTTTAATACTTTAACAATAATAAAATTAATTTCTTATTTTCAATTTACTTCAAAAAGAATTTTTGATTATATTTTTTCATGTCGGTTACCTTATATCTCTGTCAGTTTTAAACCGATTTGTAAAATTATTTTTTATTTGAAAGGATACACAGGATACAGATTGATCCCATAGCAATTTTATCAAAATTGGATTAGTAGTTTTTAGATCAAAATTACTAGTTTTGTCACAATTGAAGTCTTTTTTTTTTGTGGGACTATCTTTAATTATTCTCTTCTTTATTAATCTACTTTACTTATTTTTTGTAAGAAGTACTTTAGAATACTCTCCACACAATCATAAACTTTTAGAAGTTATAAAACAGCTTAAACCATTTTTTTTTTTTCATTCTTAAACCATAAATTATGGTTAGCCATCACACTTAAATTTATGGTCTCTCTCTCTTTCCGTCAAAAGAACACAAGGAGAAAATTAAGCTTATAAAACGTTTCCTTTTATACGTGTATCTATATTTTTCTTCTTAATTGATGTGGTCTCAGTACTGCTATCTCGTACTATCAGTATTCGTATTTTTGGAGATAATGCAAATATAGTAATATCTTTACATTATATAAATCGCGCTAATTTTTGTGAAGGCCGCGCTTAGACCTCGCAAAAAGAGGGATCGACCTCGTATTTATCATCTTTGTGATATCATGATGTGCGTAGTCTGATGACGGTCGCTCGATGCTTTTACTTCAGTTCCTAGTTTCAGCTCTGGACGGACGTGCTTCGGACAAACTACATCATGTCCTGGAAAAAAGAGATAGCTAGTAAGTTTGTTGTTTATTTCCGCAATTTTAATAGTTAATCAGGAATTGTATCCATTACTAATAACTGTGCAAAGAGATACATTTCAGTGATGAATAGAGGCTCGAGGTGTATCATCAAGTGATAATTACGAAACACATTAGAATTGTTTCTGCCGGTAACATATTTGATTCTCCTCTCGTAAAGCAATTTTAGTTCAGTCATCCTTTTTATTTTATTTGATTCTTAATTACCCAGGGCAACTTATTCAAATCGTCGGCATGTAAAGCACGTATTTGGAACATTAACCGTCGCGCTAATATACGGCCGGCACTCAGAGCAACCATTTCGAATCAAGCGACTATTAATCAGTCTGTACGTGTATATTATTTTCCTGTACTCAAATTATTACAAGTAATAGAATTAAAGGATTCTTTTATATTTACACCACAAATGTTGCAATCAAACAGGCCTGTTGTAAACAGTTACGGATAGTCTACGTGTACGGTT